GGAAATAGAATGTATTAGATCAGCAGAATGAGGAATGTTGACCATCCCAGGAAGATAGACATCTTATTGGGTGACAGCTTAAGAGACTTAAGACAGCTTAAGACTGTTCAGTTGGAGGCCCTTGGAAGACATCAGCATGGTTGGGTTACCAGAGAGAGGAGACTACAGTTTGGGAACGTGTGTGTAGAGAGCAGTGGCTATGGCCTCCCCTGGATTCACTCTAGTGATGAGCAGACCCAGGGGGCTGTGGGCTGCGGGGTGACCTTCTCTGCCACATCTGTTGTCTGTGGTCCCTGGGGCCACATGCTGTCTGGGAAGATGCTCAGTATCTGCCCAGAGACCACTGGCTTGCACACCTGAGCAAGCACTGCCAGACATGGGTTGAGGCACAATCTGCAAGACCCTCTCTCCCGCCTTCCCCACAGCGGTCCGAAGAGAGGTTTCGGAAGCTCCACAATCAAGTTGCACAGCCAGCCACATAGTGCACAAAATGACCAAGCAAGTTTTTCTCTTTCTCTTCTCGCAGTGTAATTTTTTATCATCTTTAAGTAGTTGTATGAAGGAGCTCCATTGTTACCCGTGCCCATTGAGCAGTGTGACTGTATCCACCCATCCGTTCCCTCCCTACCCACCCCTCCCCTCCCCACTTAGCCGCCCTCCTTCATCTTGGCCTCATCAGTTTCCTAGTATTCATTTGGTTAAAGTCTGAGTTGTTCTGAGGAGGGCCACCACGGCCATTCTCCCCTGCTGCTGCCATCCGTTAGTCAATCAGTATACAACCAGGCGTTTCTGAAGCAGTCCATCCCAACGGATCCCTTCATTACAGAAACTAAAACACAGTTCTTCACACACTTGGTGACTCTCGTGTTGAGAAATTAAATTACGTGACATTGGAATCATCCTGGGAATCTTCCATGAAGAGTGCTAGTCATTGAGATTGGTAATATATAAGTCAGGCCTGCTTGTCATTCACCTGTCGAGGCCAGGGTGGTGTCCGAGCTGAGGAGCAGGCCCTCAAGTCCCAGGATGGGGGAGGGGAGCTGCAAAGCGGCTTACTTTTGAGAACAGCATGGGGGAGCTGTGCTCTCCCCCACTTCATAAGCAATACTTCAACCAAGCTGTTGAACTGGAAATTCATTTGCTACTAATTTGTTCTCAGCTCATGCTTTAATGAGCCTATATTTCTGTGTATTTAATTTGAAAGTCCATTTGATAAATAATCTGTTAAAAAAATGAATGGGGATAGAGAATAAATGAGTCTGAAATTTCCAATGTAAGTAATTAAGATTGTTGTCACTACTTAGTTTTTAATTTATTAACCCATATTCAGCTGGATGATTTTTTAAACCAGTATTTAACTGAAAATAAATTAGTATCCAATTAATTTCCAGTGTTTCTAACCAGTATTTAGCCAGTATTTACCTCTGGTGGCATTTCAACATTTCTCTAAAACAGGAAGGGACTTTTAAGATGAACCCCCAAAGTCTGTAGCAGTCAACTCCTAGTGATTCAGGTTACTCCAGGCAGGCTGAAACCCAAAAGGCACCAGTGTCCATTTCCACCTGGGCTGCACCATGCCTGTGTGTGCCTGGGCTGACACCCCCCCAATACCATGACCAGAGCCGGGCTCCTGATGCATTGAGCATTGCAGTCCATTGCACAGAAACATCATCACAATTCCCCTGAGAGTTACCTAGAGAGAGAGGACTGGGAAACCATCCGGCATCCACTTCCCACCGATGCTGCGTGTGATGCCTTGTGTGGCTCGTGGGTGTCTGATGTGGCCAGCAGAGCACCTCCACTCCACCCAGTCCTCCCACGTGCCCTTTTCAAAGCCACAGACGGCCTCAATGGGAAGGAGCAGGGTACCGTGAGTGCCATACTCCTGCACCTCAGTCCACCAGCCAGGCAGGACTGAGCCTTAACCCTGGACTGCCCCCACCCCCTTAGCACTGCCCTAATGCCCGCTTTCCTCTCAGGTGAGTCCTTCTCCTTCCCTGAGCCCTGCTGGACACAGCCTTCCTGCTCTGCAATGCAGAAAGGAGCCCACGGGACTTCTGTTGTTGATGAGCGGCAGGCTTGGTAGCATAGAAAATCCTGTTACACTGATAGCAGCAGGGTGTCTGATATAAACTTTCAACACCAAACGTCTTCCTTTATAGTAAAATGTCCTACACAAGCCATGCATGGTGGCTCACCTCTGTAATCCTGTATCTGCTTGGGATGCTGAAATTGGGAGAATCGAGATTCAAGGCCACAAAAGTTCACAAGACATCATCTCAGTCAGTACAAAGCTGGGCACAGTGATCCAAAACTATCCTCTTAAGATATGCCAAAGTATAAACAGGAGGATTGCAGTCCAGGCTGGTCCAGGCAAATATATAAGACCCTGTCTGGAAAATAATGAAAATGTTGTTCATCAATGAAAAGGAATGAAGAGCTGATACGTGCTATCACACGAGTAAGTTATGCTGAATGGAGGAAGCCAGACACATGGCCATATACTGTGTGATTCCCTTTGTATGACATGAGCAGTGCAAGAGAATTCATTGAATAGAAGGGAAATTTGCCAGGGGGAGAGGTATGAGGGGTTCTACACTTCTTTGGGGACCTATAAAAATGTTTTAGAATTAGAGAATGGTGACTGTTGTACATTCCTATTGAATGGAGTGATGGAGGAAATCAGGTATATAAACTGTAGACCATAAAACACTAGCATTGAAAGCTTTAAAATGATGACATCTGTGGTATGGGAATTCAGTCTTAATTTTAGAAGAGAACTTGCTCTGTTACATACCACAACACAATATAGAACAACTATCACTTAAAAGTGGCATTAACACAAGGACTGAAAATTTAGGATTGACTAGAGAATACACAGGTGGAACCATTAAGTACCCCCAAATCAGTGAAGAAAGGACAAAAGGCAATGAATATCACTGGCTGAGTTTGTACAAGAAGGTAGGATTCCAAACCCACAGTTGCAGATATTAACTTCCACATAGAGCTAATTGCAAGACTATACAAATAGAAAATAGGTACATGACTGTGATCCCAGCAGCATGAGAAATAGAAGTAGGAGGATCAGAGTCTAGGCAGGCCCAGGGAAAAGTACAAGATCCTACCTGAAAACCAACTACAACAAAAAGCACTAGTGGTATGCTCCATTATTAAACAGCCTAACAAATTCAAGTTCAAATCCCAATACAACCAAAAAGAAAAAAAAATTAAGGCACATAACTATGACCTGAAAGAAAACTACCTTAAGCAACCTGCAAAATTCAGGAAAAGAAAGATAAATTTATGAAAACCAGAAACACTAACAAAAGATTTCCAAACAGTTAAATGACAATTGACACATAATAATTCGATAAAATATTAATATCCTGTATATAGTATATGTATGTGTGCATGTGTGTGTATATATGTATAAAGAGCTTCTGAAATCTGCAAGAGAAAGTCCAACAAAACAGCAAGTCTGGGGCTGGGAAGGTGATTCAGTGGTAGAGCGCTTGCCTTGCATGCATGAGGCCCTGGGTTTGATTCCTCAGGACCACATAAGCAAAAAGAAAAAAAAGCAGGAAGTGGCATTGTGGTTCAAGTGGTAGAGTGCTAGCCTTGAGCTGAAGAGCTGAGGGACAGCGCCCAGGCCCAGGGTTCAGGCCCCACAACCGGACAAAAACAAAAAGAACAGCAAATCTCCCCACAGTCTTCCTATCTCCCTTTCCTTAGAGATGATCCTAGAATGCCCTTCTCCACAGTGTGACAGCAGCAGCATCTTCGCTCCTTTCTCACGCCATTATCCAGTGTCCATCATTCCAACCCATCCGGTCCTTTGGCCCAGAAAGGTAGTCTTAGTGAATTGCTATGCCCGCAAGTGCAGCAGCCAGTCACGGATGGGCACAGCAGAGCAGGGGTCTTTTCCCTCAGCATAGCAGCCCCTCCCACTCCCTCACCCCGCAGGACTAGAGTGGAGACTCCTGAGCATGTGCCAGCCGACACTTGTTGGTCGGGCACTTAATTGGGGCTGCAGAAGAGGATTTGTTCAGCAGTAAAATGAACCTTCAAGTCTGGATGGATATCTATCTCCACTAAGAAAGTGCCAGACTCTGTGGTTTCTCAGGGAACATCATTAAAGAACAGATTGAAAAAAAAAAAAAGAACAGATTGGTGCAGGCATGCCCCACAGGAAATTTTGTCTCAGACTTAGAACCTTCTTGCTCTGCCTTCCTGCTGAGACAGACGTGTTCAGCTAGGTCCCCTCTTCCTTTACCCCCTTCCTCTCAGCTGTTGTTCCGTTTCCATAGGCCATAGGTTTAGGCCTTGTTCTGTTCTGTTTTACAGTGTGCTTAAATACCCCATGCTGCGCCTTGTCTCATTACCAAAGACAATTCATACAGGGATGAATGTCAACAGCCACGTGATTTGTTCTGTGGGTGGATTTTGTGCAGCACTCAGCACTAGCACTTTCCTGGGGTCAGGAAGGGTCAGAGAGGCAGCAATGAAACAGATGCATTTCGAAGCCCTATTGATAATCTCAGACACTCCAGCCATAGATCCTGACAGCTCACTTTACGTTTAGCATTAAATATTAAGACATTAAGACTGCACCTGGGCACTGGTGACTCACGCCTGTACTCCTAGATACTCAGGAGGCTGAGATCTGACAATCATGGTTCAAAACCAGCCCTAGCAGGAAAGTCCATGAGACTCTTATCTCCAATTAACCAGGTGAGGGGGGAGGCAAATATGGAGCTGTGGCTAACGTGGTAGAGCCCTAGACTTGCATGAAAAAAAGCTCAGGGACAGTGCTCAGGCCCTGACTTCAAGCCCAGTATAGAAAGATATATATATATATATATATATATATACACACACATATGTGTACATACATATATGGAGAGAGAGAGAGAGAAAGGGGAGAGGATGGCGGATGGGAGGCAGGTGGCTTCTTGCAGTGGCGGGCCTGTGATCACCGAGCCCTTTCCACTCTACTGCAGGGTCACTGTTACTACCACGGACACGTGCAAGGCGACGCAGATTCCACAGTCAGCCTCAGCATCTGCTCTGGTCTCAGGTAAGTGGCCATAGCCACGGCAGCTCTGGTCTCCAGCTCACACCCACCCAGCTCTGTCTTTCCCACTCTCTCCGCAGCACTAAGCATGCTGGGGTCGCAGAGCACCTCCACCTGCGCAAAAGGGAGGACGCTCATGTGGGTGCTCACAACCACGCGGCTAACCCAGGATCTTAACAACCCCCTGCCCCTCAGCTCCTCTTGAGCGCCATTCCCAGGCCTTGGGGGCTAACAAGGACTGAACTAGCTGAGCTCCAGCGTTCAAACATTTGTGAGTCACTTTTCACTTCTGTAGCTCTGATGCTTAATAATTCCCAGTGATAAAAGACAGGACATTAGTATTAACGTCGGAGCTGTTGGCTTAATAAAAACGCAAAAGGGAAGACCTCCTTTCATTAGAAAGCAAAATAAATAAAGGAATTAATATAACATTGACCAAGGTCAGTTGATCATAGGTGTGGGTCGGCAGGGGTCAGCAGGGGTCGGCAGCAATGTTATGTGCAAATGCAAGAAGTAAAAGAGGGAAAGACCTTCTGTGGCTGCGCAGGCAGCCCCTGGCTCCCTCCAGCCCTTCCTCCCAAATCACAGTTGGTAGCCATCACTCAGCTCTTCTGAGCTCTCCAGGAAAACCATTTGTCTGATGAATTTCCAGCTGCCTCGGCCTTTTTACTGGGTTTATTTATCGAGTTGGTGCACTAACAGCTTATCTTCCAAATCCTGGGGGGCTTGGGCCCACTGCACCAGACTGGGGTCTGCAGGAGGGTTGAGGGGGGACGGGTGAATGGACAGCTTGAGTTTACAGGCGTGGTTGCAGTGTTGTCAGTGGCAACTGTGACATCCTGGGAGATTGGGGACTGGACACACACACAACACACATGCCACAGTATCCGTGCATACGATGGCACCACACATCCTCTCTGTACAACACAAAGGATGTAATCCACACAGCACAGCACAACACAACACAGAGCCTCTCACACATATCACACCTAGTGTAATATACACACCAGACAGCATACAGGCACATACAATAAGACAGAGCTTCTCCACACACAGCACAGGATGTAATACACACAGCATAGCGCAACACAACACAAAGGCATGTAATAACACATGCAGCTTCTCTATACACACATACCACAAATAATGCAATATACATACAATGTAACATACAGGCACATGACATGACAGTCTTTCCACACACAGCACAAATCATTTATATACACAATATAACACAGCACAGCACACGACACACAGGCACATACCACACCTTTCCCTGGTCCCCTCTGCTCCTTTGTGCATCAGCATAAGGAGACTTGTGGCTCCTGCTCCAAGTGAGCCTGCGTTTTCCCATCATTGCAGGTTCTGAACTAGGCTGAAACTCTTGGGACCTCCCAGGACTCAGACAGCCTTGAACTGGGCCTTCCCTGAGTTCCCCACCCTTCCCCCACCTGCCCTGTGGTAAGGGCTTCAGGATCTGGAATGTTTCCCACACTTGACAGAAGTGGATGCTCCTAGACTCGGATGGGAGGGGTCCCACAAAGTGTTCCTAGAAATTCAGTCACATAAAAATAGCAAGGGCAGCTAGGCACTGGTGGCTCATGCCTGTCATCCCAGCTACTCAGGAGGCTAAGATCTGAGGATCGCAGTTCAAAACCAGCCCGGGCAGAAAAGTCCGTGAGACTCTTATCTCCAATAAATGACTAGAAAACTGGAAGTGGTGCTGTGGCTCAAGTGGTAGAGCACTCGCCTTGAACTGAGGAGCTGAGGGACAGTGCCCAGGCCCAGAGTTCAAGCCTCATGACCGACAAAAAAAGAAAAAAATAGCAAGGGCTGGGGTTTTGCTTCATGATAGATCTCTTGCCTAAATATACAAAATACAAGATCCTGGAGGTGATCTCCAGCACCACAAAATAAAAAAGTAAATAAATGAGTAAAAGCATCAAGAGGAGAGGCAGTTAGTACACAAATAAGGGCCTGGATGATGGTCTTGTTGGAAGTACCACATAGATTTTAGTTGTGTCACGTGACTTTTACTGTACCAAATTTTAGAGTAAAGCAAATATGATACAGGATAATTCTTGCCCCTACACTGTTTAAATAGTCATCCATTTCTTTTTTCAAAGGGTAGAATTGATCGGTGTTGTAGGCCATGGAACCCAGGATACACACGATAATGAAAACACTCATTTGTAATTTATCCGTGAGAACAAGCAGTCACTGTACAATGCCTGCCGCATGCGGGTGCAGAATCACTGTTTAGAATTTAACAAAGCCAATGGACACATTTGAAGAACTCTACTCAGAAGTCTCAGCTGAGAAACTGGAAGACAACAACCCTGGGGGGCGGGGTGGGGGAAGGGGACCAGGGCAGAGGAAGGATGGGCCCTGGGCTGAGCGGCATCCTCCACAGGGGTGGGGCCACAGCCGTCCTCCCAGACCCTCAGCACTTGACTCCAGTGTCCTCTGACCTGGGCCGTTAGGTGTTTTCCAGATTGTTGGCTTGACCCAAAGACTCATAGACACATGGGCTAAAGCCTCAGGAAGATCCGGCACACTGAGGAGTTTCCTGTCTGTTAGACAGGATCGGGGTCCCACAGTCCTGTGCTAAGAGCTGCCCGTTGCAGACACGCCGTGAGGCTCAGCAGGATCATGTGCCTCCCCCCCCCCTCCCCCCCCCCCCCCCCCCCCCCCCCCCCCCCCCCCCCCGTGGGCAGGTATGAGTAAATCTAAATCTCTATCCTGCTCACTGCAGGTCCTCAGCCCCTCAGGGCGCAGTGGGTCCTACCATAGAAGGGAAGTAAAGCCAACTTGTCCTTGTCCCTCACCTTTGCCCTCATGGCCGTCTGCTCTCTCAGCCTTTTCTGACTCACCTCCCTGGCTGCCCTCTGACCTTCAGCCGTGTGTTTCTAGCCAGGACTCTGCGTTGTTCCTCTCCTGCCTTCTCTCTTCCTGTGGACAGGCTAGGACTTCAATGGGACATGAAATGGTCACGGTCCTGCCCCCACCAGCTCTGAGTCTGTCCTGCCACTCCTGACCAACACCCAGGATTGAGTCCACAGCTCTACCGGGCCACGCAAAATCCCACGTGTCTCAGACTGCGCTCCTGGATGGGTCTGCAGGCCGACTCCCCCAGACTCTCTTCCACTGAGTTGCCAGAGGCCCCAAGCTTGACCTCTGGGGAGCTCTGGTAACCCCTACCCACCCAGACCCTGCACACGCCCCCTGTCGGCCAGCTCCTGCCTCACAAGGACAGCTCGGTCATCTCCGTCCCCAATGCCCTTCCTGGCCTGCTCATCGATAGTCCTGCAAATGTTTATTGATCGCTGACTCACCTATTAGTTACCTGTTGACCACACAGAGCAAACCAGAAGAAATGAGGAAACTGCCCTGAGGTGGAAAGGAGTCAGACATGAGCTAAACACAAGGCTGTAAGACTCACAAGAAACTGAATGGAACCAGGAGAGCCTGGCATCCCGGCATCCCACGTGAGGTCCTCCACACCAGCACCCCACCTTCCTTCGTGGCTCTCACTGTCCATCTGCAGTGACCCCCACTTCCACCAAGGGTTCCTCTGTCTTCGAGTGAACCCCGACCTTCCTTGCTCCTGTATTGTTCATCCAAGGCCTGTGTTCCCTGCCTCTTCAGGCCCATTTGCCCCTCAAAACTCCCCTCAAGGCCCTGGTTCTAGGTGGGACTGCTTATCCACCCCGACCCTGTCAGGGCTGCGCTGTCCCCGGGCAGCTCTGCACTGCTCTGAACTCAGCCTTTAGAACCAGCTGCTCCTTTGCAAGTGTGTGTTTGGGGTGATGGAGCCGGGGGGAGGGGGTGGGTGGACCACTGGTGTGGCCGAGGGCAGCGAACAGCTTATGGGACAAGTGGCTCCACCAGTGCCACCTTAAGCAACCAACTTTTTCTCTGTCACTGTTCTTGAGACCAGAAATCCAAGCTCAAGGTATCATGGGATGGATTCTTTCCAGAAACTTCAAGGGAGAAGCCCTTCTGTGCCTCTCTGTCCTAGCTACCAGCAGGCTTGGCTTTGCTTGGCTGATAGAGGCCCCACTGCAGCTCCAGCCTCGACCTTCTTTTGTCACCTTCCCCCCAGTTCCAGGATGTGACCACAGGGCCTCGAGTGCTTTCTCAGCTTGCTTGGTGGACTGGGACACTACCATTTGGAGATGAAATCTTGTAGACTTTGCTGCCCAGGCTGGCTTCAACTTGCCATCTCCAGATCTCAGCTTCCTGAGGGGCTGGGATTTATAGGTGTGAGCCCCTGGCTCCCAGCATATGTGTTAACCCTTCTGTCTCTCAGAAGGGCATGTCACTAGATCTGGGCCCCAGAATGATCCAGAATGATCTCGTTTTTTAAGATATTGGATTTAATTCTATCTGTCAAGACCCTCTTTCTAAATTTTAGGCTCTACTCCAAGGTAAGAGGGATGAGCATGGGAACACACATTTCAGAGGAACACTGCTCAGTCCCCTCCCCCAGTGACCTGGGCCTCTCGTTTTTCTCTCCTCCTTAGTAAAATAGGCCAGCAATCTGCAGGATTGCTGTCCATATTAGACAGGAGCGTGGCTTGTTGTGGGTAAGATGGGGGCGTGGGATGACCACTAATTGGTCCAAACCCTCTTTAGGTTGATGAAAATGTTCTAAAACTAGGCAGGGATGATAGCTGCACAATTCATTGTTCTAAAAACCTACTGGCTTGCCTGCTTTAAGAGGGTGAACTTGGCACTACCCGAAGCATGCTGGTGAAGATCGTCTTTAAGATGGCTGGCTGGCTCATGGTACACTTGTCACCAAGCTGTTCTTATTCCTGAGGCACCAGTAGATTGAAAATAGCTCGTCTGAAATTCCTGGGACCAAACATGTTTCCGAATGGCGTGCATTTAGAATTTGCAATCATTTCATTCAAGGTATTCAGCCTGTATTGCCTATCCATAAACACCTGTTTAATACGTAAGCCTTTCCTTTGGTCATGCCCTTGCCCTGCTGTGCATTTCATTCGGAACAGAAGCTGATGGTAGGGTATCTAACCTTGTGCCTGGTGGGAATAATGAATATTTGTTTTGCTTATACATGAGTACTTTCCATGGAAACCATTTATTGAAAATAAGCCTTATGGTGCTCATGATGTGCTGGCTAATATTGTTGTCATTACAGTTTATCAAACACATATGAGGCAGGATATTGTTTTTACCCATGAACTTCAGAAAGAAAAAAAGCACTGGAATTAAATCTTATGTCAACCATACTTCTAACTTGTGATTGACAACATAATATTAAGACCAAAAGTTCTTTCCTAGGAAATGCGATTAGCAGTAGAAGATTGAACAAGCTGGGATAATTCGTAATTTCTAATCATTGTCTTATTACAGGTAGTCCAGCCTCATGTAACATTAAGCTGAAGGGTTGCCAAATGCACCACCGATGCTGGATTAAAAACTGAATTTTCAGAAGGACAAAGACTTACCTTGAGGGAAAATAGGACCCCTGAGTTTTCGCACACAAAACTAGCCAAGTCAACTGACCATTTTGACAGATTCCTCTTCATTTCTGTTCAATAAGGAATAGCAAGAATTTCCATTTGAAGGGAGGTCGGTTGGTTTTTACAGCGGCTGCGCCGTCTCTGGCCTGTCTTTTCTGCTTCTGTTTCACTGCTGTTGTCCCTGTTCTGCGATAACAGGCTGAGGCAGGCAGGTGAGTGTGGGGGTGAGGAGCCTTAGCCTCAGACCTCCAGGTCTAGATTGGCCCTGGCTCTGCCTTAAGCCACCTGGGCACCCTGGGCAGTGGTGGATGTTCTGATCCATGAAGCTTCATAGAGCGATAGGGATAATGACACAGTTAAGAGATGGAGGTGGAAGACAGGCAGGTAGCCCTCCTTCCTCTCCATTATTGCTTTCTTTTCTGCCCCAGGAGCTGGCCTCCTACGATGGTAGGTCTAGTGTCCGCCTTGAGCTGTCCCTCCAGAGAAGGAACTCAGTCTTCATCTTGCCCAAACACTGGGGTCCCTGCTCATCTCCCCTCACATACACCAGCACCAGTCCACCAAGAGGAAACCACACACACACACACACATCCTCAAAGTCTGCTGGATTTACATTCCATACTCTGAGATTCTTCCAACTTTAAGTTTACAACCAAATATCTATGATATTCAACTTAAAACAAATTGCATCTCCTTATCTAACTTAGGGCCGGGAGGACTGTGAGAACATCACATTTTCACATCTCGGAAAGTCTGAGTGCTTGAGTTCTGTATCCCCCGTTGTTTCCAGCAAGCTTTAGAGCTAAATGATTAATTATACCCAAGACAGTCCAAAGCAATTATTTAATTATGCTGTACATAGGCTGCCAATTCTGTGGAGCAAAGGGACGGCCTTCACCCCGTTTCTCCACATCTGCCTTTGTATGACTTAAAAGATAAAAAGAGATAGGAGAATGCTTTTATAACCAACTAACAATTTCTAGAAATTTTCCACTAAGTAGAAAAACTTTTTCAGCAGTTTCCTCCTCGGCAAGCACTGGTGACATATTTTACTGTCAAGTCTCCTGACTAGATAGTTAAGTAAACGCACAATAGAAAAGTAACAATACAACATGAAAGGTTATGGTGCTATTTTCTTTTTACTGTAAGAAAGTCCATTTTCTTGTAAATCCAGATTCCTACATTAATTGTCCTTGCCTTTCAAGTTCTCTTTCTTAATTTAAGCTTGTTAAAGTCCATATCATTAATGAACACAAATTCCTGTTCCCCACCCTCAACTTAGCAATGTCCAGTTGATTTCACAAGAAAAGCTCAACAAAAAGGACCCAGACATTCCGCATGGTAGAGTCATACCTGAATTATTGATTTGAAGATACTCAAAGTTGCTACTTTGTAAGGGAAAAAGAAGAGTTATGCACAATGGCTTTTAATCATCTGTGGGATCTTTAAAAATTCCCAGAACCTTTTTAGTTACTCCAAGCTCTTCCTCCAGCATCCAGAGCTCTGATTCCTGGTTGTATGGAGCATAGATCTTCCCTGTTAATCCAATTTCCCTCTCTGGTGCTGTCCTCTTGCCCAGAATACAGCTATCCCAGTCAGGAGGCATCTGTTTCTTCCAATGCCTATGATACTACAAAACAGGACTGTGGCTAAACCAGTGGAAGTTGGCTAGTGTATACTTGCTTATCAGCTCCATTCAAAGGAGCTACCTGACTGTTTCAAGCTTCTGTCCTCCATACCATTTGAGTCTGGAAGCTTAGTCATTTTATTAATAGACTCCTATAGTAGGCTATCAATCAACAGGGAGAGTGAATGACCAAAGAAATAAGGTGAGCAGTATGAGCAACATAGGAACGTTTTACTTGGTCCTTGCTTTGGAAATCAGTTGGGATGATCAAAGGGCAGTGAATGGAGTGATGAGTGTTTCTTGAGGATTAGGGGTGTTCTCAAATATAAATTAAGTGTCAGACTGAAAGCCCAGAACCTAGACTCTGTCTGTCTCATTCTCAGGCCTGATCTGCTAACATACTTTGAAAAGTTCTGTGGTTAATACATAATGCATCCGTGAATCACGTCGGGGAAGTCTTAAGGAGGTTCGAGTCTCAAGCAAGATTGAGTCACTGTGGCGGGCGTGTCCGTTTACAGCCAGATGAACTTCCCATGAAAGCATGATGTGTTCTCAAAGGGCCAAGGTGTGGTCGCCATGCCGAACAGTAGAAATTGCGAGGTGTGTGTGAGCTGTGCAGATGACAGTTCTGGCCCAACTACCATTGCTCCCAGAAAACCTCACTCTCAGCATCAGCGAGCACCTTTCAAATGAAAGGACTCATTTGTCTCGTTGGAAGAGAGAGAAAGGAAAGCCAGCACTTACGCCAGGGTTCCTTACCTCGTGAAGCTCGATCCCAGGCCATCCTTGCTCATTTCCATAATGGAACTGGGCCTCAGCCTCAGCACCAGAAAGTCATGACAAGGGTCATGGTTCGTGGCTAAAGGCTACCCCTGACTCTGACACTTAGAGCATTTTTGAAACTCTGTCCACTAAAAACAAATCTGTTCATTTACGTCTAATCCTCAGTGGTGGCTCAAAGGTTCTTGGTTCTCCCAGAAGTATACTGATCCCATCAAACTGTACTTCATACTGGGGAGGCCTCGATGGCCAGTAAACCTATAGCTAGATGAGTTAAAGAAGAATGGTATCTCCCTAAAATTGTCCATCTTTGGAATAACTCATAAAGAGCTGCTACCATTCAGGCACCACTTGGTGCCTGGGCTAGTATTTCTCATTGGATGGTGTAGAAACTTTGAGCAATAAATAGCATTATAATGTGAGCCCCATTGTATTGGTGGCAGACACAAGGTTTGATAAGATTAAGAAGCATGATCAGGTCACACAGATGGTAAACAGCACAGCTGGAACTCTCCCCTTGGCCGCTGGACTCACCTTGCCATGGTGTTTCTTGATCCTGTGAAAGGCTATCCACTCCTCCAGGAGGCACACTGTGTCCTCCAAGCCACAGCTCCATGCTTTGAGTATTTGTAAGAGCACTTGTGTTTGCACATCTCTTACAAATTAAATAAATGAAAATACCATGCATATATATATATACATATATTTGCCTCCCTCCTTATATCTGAATCTCTTCAAATATTTAGGAAATTTATCTGGTCATGATAAATAATGTAGATGCAGGAATCATCTTTTAAAAAGAAAAGGATGATTTCCCTTCTGAGTTGGGTCTGCAAATTCAGATATAGTTATCGGCAATGAGACATCTTTCCTCTAGACTCTTCTTCCTAGTAATATATCTTTAGACAGAAGAAAGAAGAAAGGAAAAAACAAGAAAGCACAGAAGGTAAAATGCAGTCTATTGTCACCATAAAATATTTCAAACTCAAAAAAAAACTCTCCGACTTGCCTTTCTGGGTTGCAAAATGAATGTGTGCAGGCCCTCCGCACAGAAAATGTCCTTTCCAATTAAGGTGTGAGAGTCTAAATAAAGTGATATTTCCTTCATTAAGAGCTATGTTTCAACCATCAACAAGGAGCCGTTGTTTAAAATGAGTATTTTTGTCATTTCTTTTTCAACAGGGGACTTATTGTGTTTGAAAACCAGACCTACATCTTAGAGCCAATGAAAAATACCACCAACAGATACAAGCTCTTCCCCGCAGAGGACCTGGGTGGCATCTGGGGGTCGTGTGGATTGCACCATAACACCACCCGCCTCCCCACGCCTGCCATGTCTCCGGCACTCACCCAGATGCAGGCAAGAAGGGTAAGAAGGACATAGACGCTCCCGTGTCTCTGGAGGGCTTCAGGCATGGACACCCAGTGCCAGGAGATCCAGAGACGCTCTGACACTGGACTTTGTGTCTAGGAAATGGAAATCCCACTTATCAGGAGCAGTGGAAACCATGTGGCCAGTGTCATCATGGACTGAGAGCTCCATCACCAGTCTCGTTAAGATATACTGGGGGCAGTGTACCAGTGCTGTGCACCTGTCATCCCCTGGTCCACGGAAGGCTGAGATTGTGTGTGTGTGTGTGTGTGTGTGTGTGTGTGTGTGTGTGTGTGTGTGTGTGTGTGTGTGTGTGTGTGTGTGTGTGTGTGTGTGTGTGTGTGTGTGTGTGTGTGTGTGTGTGTGTGTGTGTGTGTGTGTGTAGAGGTGGGGAGGGGAGAATCATGGTGTGAGGCCAGCCCAGAGAGAAAAGTCTACAAGGAAGGAAAACCACAGCAGTGCTTCCAGTTTTCTGGTGGTTTATTGGAGATAAGGGTCTTACAGACTTTCCTGCCCAATCTGGCTTTGAACTGCGATGTTCAGATCTCAGCCTCCTGAGTAGCCAGGATTACTGGAATGAGCCACGAGGGTCCCAGTTCTGTGGGGCTTTTGAACTCCCCTCCTAGTGTGCCCCATTACAGGGCTGTGCCTTGCCTTGGCACTGATTCAGAGGCCCTGGGAGGCTGTATCACAATCCCAGGGCCTGGAGCTTCCATATACCCAGTGGCAGTGACGGCAGCAGTGGCAGCGGCCCCAGCTTCTTGGGGAGCATTTTCTTTCCCCATCTTGCTTGAATGATGGATTGAAGAGTTAGAATCACAGAGACCCACCTCTGTGGTCCCATGTGAGTTCCTTTCATTCAGCAAACACATTTGCCTTTGATTCAAGCCCTTGGATAAGATGTGGTTAAGATGTCACTTTAAAGCCATCAGCAAAGCAGAGCATTTGCATTTTGTTTTGCTGTGAGTCGCTTGTCCAAAGCCTGCTCTCCGAGTTATGCAATTTTTTAACTTGACAGTTGAAATGACACTCAAATAGGTTTGCCATTTCATTTAGAAGTACAAACTTGATCTGTAGTTACCAGCCAGCCACATTTTAATTCTTTAAGCATACCGTCCTCGAACACTTTGATTGACAAAATAATTTCCAGTCCTTTTGGTTTGTACATAAATGGAAAGAAACTGAATAACAAGACTATTTTGTTAATAATGCATATTGAAGTGTAAATGAACCTTTACATTGCAAAAGGAAGGCCTGGATACCCAGTCTCTTTTCCCTGTCACTTTTGAAATAATTCTGATAGGCTTTTATGCAAGAGAAAACATCTGTGACCTAAACAGCAGGAAGATAATGAAACTGGTACCAAAATAGTTTTTAAGTAAAGGGAGGAAATATGCAGAGCTAGAATTATCTAGGAGGATATTTTGGATAACACCTGTGATAAATATGAAGAGTGCATCTTTGAGTTATAGGCTGCTAACTAGTCTCACTTTGCTGCCTTGATTTTATACTAAAAAAAGAAATCAGTGTAACTACAGCTAATTAATCTTGTTTATGCAGCACAGTGAACACATTTGCTTTACCCCAGCATTTTCCTGCCCCTGCTCAACATTAACTGTTGCCGAGCTGGCTGCATAGTCTGCAACTCTTCTGCAGAGGTTTGCATTTTCCTTCACCGAGCATCAGAAATTGATCTACCCTCTGTGTATACTCCACATGGAAGAGGAGCCTGAGCAATAGCTTGTCATTGGTACATTGGTACTGCATTCAATTGCAGAGAGCCAAGTTGAAAGGGCGCAGAGAGACAGAAACTTCCTGGTCTGCTCTCTGAGAATTTTAAGTCCAGCCTAAAGCACCCACTGCTCACAACTCACTTGTACTCACCCTTTCCCTCTCCATCCTTTATGCAATCAAGACAAAAAAAAATCTATCTGAGCAAGCATCGTAAGAAAGGCAAAGGCTAAGTCTGCTACTGGAGAGAATCACATAATACATCCCAAAGGCAAAATGAAATTGCAGTTGAATTTCTCTTTTTTTAGGGATAACCCTTCTGTGGTTCCCCTCCATTAGTATAGAAAATAGTGCATCAAATATAAAAGCTTTTTCTGGGAAGAAATGTTTGCAAGGACTTCTGGGTACACAGAGGACAGCAGGGCAGCGAGATGCTGCTGGGTACCCGGGATGCACTGGTACCCAGCCACCATCTTATCTGTGTAAGCAGATTCCATATGGTGGTAATCTGCTGTTCTGGTCATATCTAACCCCCACTTCCTGTTTGTTTTCTTCCATGGACTTTTCACACACCACATTGACTCTTGTTAATTCTTTGTTCCTCCTCCTTTTCCCAAGAGAAGGTGACCTTCCTGAGGGGCAATGACCTTGGTCTTTCCCATCTGGTTACTTGGGGGCTCCCAGTGGACCCTGTGGGGTGAATGCAAATGGTCTGGCCATATGAAGGAAGGAGTCTAATGAGAACATATTGTAACCCCATTCTCAGCTTGCTTTCCTAACTTGAGTCAAGATATCAGAGCCAGGGTCCCTGGCAGGCAGTTTGGAGGGCAGGGTGCATCTGGGAACTTGGTTGTGGTCACTTTAAGAAGCAGGGGAACTGATTTCCTCCTGAGTAACTCTTGAAGAAGCCCTCTGTGCCCGCCTTGGAGAAAAGACAGACTGCAGTGCTTTTCTCACAGGTCCTGTTTGGGGATGAGTTTTGTGCAGGGGGGCGGGGTGCTTTTTGTTTTGCCACAAGTTCAAAAGTGAAAATTCAGTCAAGCAACCAGTTTCAAGTGTTGCTCTCCATATCACAAATTAAAATATGATTTAAAAAGAAAACTGGACAGCCTAGATAGGTAGGAATCATGTGGTGGTAATTTAAGCCTGGGACCAGCCTCTCCCCTGTGGCTTTTCATTATGATGTGGTTAAGCTTCTCTCTGAGTTTGCAGTTCTCTGAATTCATGAGAAAATGTGGACTTCTCTGAAAACTGCAGAGACAGGAAAATTGTGTTCATGTGTTTGTTTTCATTATCTGGGATTGTGTATTTTCTAAACAATGATTCTAGGCCAGTTGGAAATATCCTTCCTTTGGCCATTGATTTTACTCTTCCAAGGCTGAAATTGTGAAAGTCTTTTGACAATCAGAGCCTCCTCAGTGAGTTCTTCAGTGGAAAACTAATTTATTTCTTCATTTCCAGAGCTGTATTCTCTTCTCTACAATTAGCTGAATTTGTTCAGGGTAGGTGGAGGGATCATGAGCCAAAGCAAGATTTCTCCTTCTTTGACACCCCCTCAGTAAGAATAAAAAAGAGGTGAGACCCCTCACACTTCAGAAGTGTCTCATTTTTGCCTGTACACTGGACCCCACGGGGGCTGATTTTTCCCCTTTTTAAGTACATAGTTATCACCATAAAACCTGCTGATACATATAGTTACAACATCTGGACATTTTTCTTTCTTTCTTGCAACATTGTGAAAGAATGAGACATTCCACCTTTCTTGGTGCTTTATTTTTCCTTGCTCAGATTTGCAGATTTCTTCAGGGACACCTAAATCCACAGATCAGCACAGCTGGGCAGTCTGTGGGGAGGCAGGCCACTATCATACAAACATTTTTCCTTATAAAAATCTGTTTGGAAAGATCCTGGACTGATGGGGAATTGTGCTATGAAAGATGTGTCCCTCCAGATTATACGACTGGAAATGGGATTCAAAGCATGCTTTAAGTCTTTTTTTGTTGTTGTTTGGTTTGGTTTGGTTTGATGAGGCTTTTTTTGTTTGGTTTTGTTAGTTTTTTGCTTTTGTCTGAAAAGAGTTGTAACAAATTTTCAACTCCAGCAGTGTAGTTAAGTCATAACCAGCAGTTCCAGGCAGGAGGAAGGGAGACCCATTCAGCCCCAACTTCTTCAAACTGTGGGTTATTGCAGAAACAGAAGGCTTTGCTTTTTGTTTTTAATGTTTGCTTTTTGGAGACCACCCTCCATGAATTGCTTTATTTCTTCCAAAAATGCCTTTGGGATCCTCCCAGTGATTCAGGGAAGAGCAGGAATGCCCTTTGAGGAAGCCTGATTACAATGTAACCCACTTCAGAGGCTGCTTTGTTTAGGGTCTGTGTTTCTCTAGCTGGACCTCCACATCAGTGAGAGCTGAGCTGATGTGAGTCCCCTTCCCACCCCCCACCCCCCACCCTGCTTTTCCACTCCACCCACACCCAGCTCTGGGGGGGGGGGCTGGACTTCTTTCTTTCTTTCTTCCTGTCTTTCTTCCTTACATACTTCCTTCTTTCTTTTCTACCCACCTTCTCTTCCTCCTTCCCTTCTTTTCTTCCTTCCTTCCTTTATCTCCTGTTTCTTTCTGTTCTGCAGTCTCGCCTCTTTATGTCTTGCCCCCTTGTGTTTCTGGCTATTTCCCCTCTCTCCAGATCACCCCAGTCTTCCATTGCTTTGAGCAAGATTCTTTTTTCTTGGCAGTACTGGGATTTGAACTTAGGGCTTTGAGCTTGCTAGGTGGATACTCTACAGCTTCAATCCTACCCCTAGATTGAAAAACCAAAAGGATCAGCTCCAAGGGCTACACTCTCAGGAGTGGACCCCACAGTGATTACCCACAGATCCTGCCGTTCCGCTTCCAAGATCGCCGCCCTGCCTGTCTGTCTCAGATCTCAGAGCAGGGACATTTGGGCCACTGGTTTCCAGCTTGGAGTTGAGTCATCTTCACATGTGCCACATGTAGCTAGATTCTCCCCTTCTAGAAAGAACGCTGGGTGTTCATTTGGTTTTGTGTTAATGTGCTCATTTTATTTCATACTGACCTTGACCTCTTTTGATATTGCGATCCGTGATTCAGCAGGAAGGTTAAACAGCTTTTTAAGATTTCCCAAGTAGAAGCAGAAATGGATGGCCAGTTTGGGGCTGGAGGTTAACTTGTCAAGGGAGGGGAAACCAGAGACTGGAGGGGCAGGGGGACATAGACGATGCTCTGAAACTGCGGGGAGATTTGAAGGGAAGCTAAGCTCATGTTTACTTTTGACAGCATAAAAGGGAGACACTCAAGATGACCAAGTATGTCGAGCTGGTTATTGTCGCCGACAACCGAGAGGTAAGAACCTTTAGAATGTTCTCAGTGCTATTGGTTTTCAAGAGAGAATCAAATGCTGAGCAAGTTACTGCCTTAGCACAGTTGTCTATGCATTCTTAAAAAGCGTCAGAAACAGCCAGGCACTGGTGACCCACACCTGTAATCCTTCTTACTCAGGAGGCTGAGAACTGAGGATCCTGGTTTGAAACCAGCCAGGGCAGAAAGATTTATTAGACACTTATCTCCAGTTAATCAGCAAAAAGCCCAAAGTGGCTCAAGTAGTAGAGAACTATTCTTGAGTGAAAAAGCTAACTGAGAGTATAAAGCCCTGAGTTCAAGCCTTGGTGTTAGCACAAAGGAAAGAAGAGAGGGAAGGAGGAAGGGAGGGAGGACGAAGGGAAAGAGAAAGAAGGGAGGGAAGTAAGGAAGAAAAGAAAGAAGAACGAGAAAAAGTAGGAAGCAAGCAAGTAAGCAAACAAGAAAGAGCCCATGAAAGAGAGAACCCATGGAAAAAGTGATTTTTCTGATTTCATTAATTATAATTTTAAAGAATATTAAAAAAGTATCTGATGGTACGAACAATAGGAAAGTCTGAAAAACAACAAACAACTGCCAAAGTTTCTCTGTAGTTAATCTCTGTGAATAAGAATTCTTTGGAGGAAATAATGACTGATTTTAGATTGCATTCTGAAACATTTTAGGGGAAAGTTAAGCTTTTTAAATGTCTGTGTGTCCTAAAACTGAATGGATGGATGGATGGATGGATGGATGGATGGATGGATGGATGGATGGATGGATGGATGGATGGATGGATAAAAGCTACATAGAACCAAAACAGAGAAATCCTACTGTCTTGAGAATTGGCTTGGCCCTATGTTCATTTCTTCTCTTAATTATCTTTGAATTAATTTTTTTAGATTATCTTGTTGATATTCATGTATTGTCACATTCACATATTATAACACAGGTACCATTTTCTCATAGACTGACTCAGCACACATGTACAAGACAAGGTTGACAGTGTTTCAGAAAACTGCTCCATCCTGGAAGGTCAGACTATAGAAGAGAACAGAGAACCCAGTTAACATTTTATCTGTTCTCTTTTGTATTGTTTGACATGCTGCCATGACCCTCTATTGCTTTTACTGTTTAATTTTTAAAAACAAATATAAAGCAATTTTCTCAGGAAGTTAAAATCAAGGTGATGATATGACAAATGGCTCCAAACGACCTTTTGGCTGTGTATTTTCTCTTTGCCAAAGCACATCACCATCTCCATCATTTGCGAGGCTGGAAAAATTGCAGAAGTGACTGTCTTGTAAGCTCTTGGCTTGGGTGAATTTCAGGGAGTTTCAGGCAATCCCCAACTGGGGAAAGTTCTCTGCAGGATGTGAGCTTATTTCATCATAAATTTAGAGGACTTTGGGTAGCTTTCAAAAGCCCAAGACTTTACATTTTAGGATCTGGGAAGATGAGTTGTGATTGATATGCCTACCATTATTAATGGTGACATTTAAAATTGTTAAGTTTCAGAGGCAAGGAAAAGATCTGGAAAAAGTTAAGCAGCGTTTAATAGAGATCGCTAATCACGTTGACAAGGTAAGTTTCTCTTCGGCTAATTAAACCACTCAAATCGTGTAAATGTTTGGAAACGGGGAGGAGAGGATTCGGTGTACCTCATCTGACTGATCTGAAAGACCAAGTTCTGCCTTGGGTCTAGGGTGGGACTTCCAGTGTCCTTTCCCTTGAACATGTGGTTCCCACCCATGGTGGCCCGGACTGTGGTGGACTGCAGGGCACAGCTTTCTTCAGATTCTGCTGACCAGGGTGTCTTATACTTAGATTCCCTTAGATTCAGAACTCTGTGGCATGCATTAGACCCTGTCAAGAACGCTCCAGCTGGTCCCTGGGAGCTAGCTCTCATCCATAAGGGATCCACAGAATTCTACTGCCCAGCAGCGTTGAAACAGACTTCCAACTCAGCAATTATTTGTCATTGTTGTGACAAATACTTAGGAGGAACAATTTAACGGAAAATATATTGTGGTGATGGTTGCAGGGGTTTCCATTGTACGTCCTCTGGCTCTTGTTGCTTTGGGCCTGAGATACAGTAGAAACATCAGGACAGAGAGGGTGTGATGGAGGAGAGCTGCTCACCTCATGGTGGTCAGGAAGCAGAGAGAGACAGGAAGTGGCTGAGAGCACTCTCCAGGCCACTTTCCCAGTGACCTATCTCCTCCCACGAGGAAAGCCAATAATGGTCATATCATCCACTAGTACTATCAAGTTATGAGGTCAAAGCCCTAATGATCCAATCACCCTTCCATGGTTCGACTCACCACCAAGCCTTCATCAGCTGTTAGCCAGCCCCTCATTGAGAACACCTGGAAACATATCTTTCACAAGTATAGAAAGGACCCTGGGAATGTCATCCAACAAAGGCGTCTTTGCTGGTGAAGTGATCCTTCCACCACCTGCTTGCAGGAAAATGGTCTGTCACCTCCCACCAGACAGAACCCGGGCTTTCTGGGCAGATGACTCTACTTAAACCTAGTCTTCTCACACTGACCTGAATATTGGCACTGTCATTATGTCAGACTCTTCCCAGGTGGCTGTGCTTGTTGGGTTGTATTTACTCTTTGGAGTACCGACTCCCAGGCCTGGTCCAGGGCTTCTGATCTCAGTGGCTTGGGTGGGGCTTGGGCACAGACCGCATCCACGTGCTCCTGTGATGTCAATGCAGGACAAGACACTGGTAGACGGGAGGGAGATTTAACCACCTGACCTAGGAGCCCAAGCTAACACCCCAAGACTTGCCTGGAAGGCCTCAGTCTGCAGGGAAGGAAAGAGCATCAGTTTTTCTCAGGCCTTGGGAGTGAAAGGAAACTGTAAACTAGATTAAAACCAAGACAGAAATTGCTGAAACCCCATTTGAAACAGTGATGTGTTTGGCCCTCTGTGTTTATATGTCTTTATGTATTATTCTGGGGTTTATCTTGCTTCAGTTTGCAAAACTAAAAATGAGCAAGTGGGAGTTTGGTAATAACTAGCACTGGTAATTAAAGAACAATATGCCTCAGAGAAGTCCTGGTGGATTCTGTTGCCTGGCTGTTCTTGTGTTTCCAAGTGGCAGAATGATTCCTAAGCACACAGAAACAGCCAGCCCTGACATCCTCATCTACCCTCAGTATCCCCGGCGGGCAGGGGCCGGGGGTGGGGGGGGAGCTACCCAGGCTCCTTAGCAGACTCTGTGTATCTAAGTCTGCCGACAATACCCACAGGCTATGCTGAGCATCCCACATTTCAGTTTTGCACGTCTCCATGTGGGAAAGTCCCCCCACTCATCTCCTCTTGCTGACATCTTGGCTCAGCTGGGCCGTTTCTAAATTAATAACTACTTGGCTGCTTTGGCTTGGAGAGAAGGAAGGACAGCCCAGACTGGAAACAGAGAAGTGACTGAGTGACAAAGGTGATGCTCTGAAATGTGCGGGACATACCACTGTAAGTGAACCCAAAGGCAGGTCTGATACTTGTGCTTCTTGGCCAAACCCCAGACCTTCTCCCCAGGTCCTGATGACATCTCAGCAGAACAGCTGAGTGTGTGCCTGCCCGGGAGGTGACCACTGGAGCTTCTATTTAATCCTTTCCTCTAACCCATCCTTGCCTCTTGTCAAGGGTTTGGCACCAACTGGAAAGTCTTTAAGGCTGAATCTCAGCTCTGTTAGTCCTCTGTATTGAATTTATTCAGGCATCATCACTCATATGAATGCCTTCTTTCCTTCCTCCCCCAAATCCGTGGCCTGAAAGTCTTCCTTGGACCCCAGGGAATTCTACCCCCTCATTTTAGATCCGCTCTTTCTAGAAAGTCTTCCTTGGCTGTCCAGCACAGCATCCCTTGGACTTCCTGTCCACACCATTGTTTGGCAGGCTACCATTTCAAAACTGAACTGGAAAAATGGTGATGTGTCCTGGGCTGTAAGCCTTCTGGTGACCTCTGAGCAGCTGAGCAAGATCAAGAACATTTTAGTCTTTCTTCTGCCTGCTCAAGCCAAGGCTAGTCCATAGCAAGGGCTAAACAAATATCCATCACTACTGTATAAATAAAGGATTCACTCAGCTGGGTCTGTGTGTCCACGTAGTTTCTGGGATGCCCAAGCTGGGTTGGATGCTGGGCAAGCTCCAGTTGTTCTGCACAGGCCTGAGAGCTGTTCTGTGGGTCTGGAGCCAGGAATCCTTGCATTCACATACAGGTACCCATGTAAATCACGCTGTTGGAGTCACCCTACCAATGTCCACACAGGGCCATGCAGTTGTGATCTTCAGTCAGCTACTTGGCAGCTGCCAGATTCTGTGTCTTGACTATACGAAAACTATACGCACCAAGCCTGAAACGCGTTCATGACATGGCAATGTCCATGATGTGTTAGCTGTCACCACTATCACTGGCCCAAAAAATGCAAAGTAGCTGTGGGCAGCCCTGAGAAAAACACTGGGAGTGGGACCCTGAGCAATGCTTGATTTGATGTAAGTTCAGCACTCCTGACAGTATCAGTTATACTAAGTGTGGAGAGGGGGTTGAACGTTGTATCCTGCTAGGTATAAAGAAGGTGCTCAGCACCTTCATTATTATGAAAAGGTCCCTAATTCACCAGTAAGCTGTACAGTAGCACTGAGATGGGGGACAAGTTAGTCCTTTGCGGACCTTAGCTCCTGAGAAGTATTTGGTGTCCCCTTCTCAGATGATAGCCCCAAAGCCAGGTAGGATGTTTGACACTCAGGACATCGCTTAGTCAGTGGGTGTTAACATCAGCACTGGATTTCCTGCATTTTTGCTTTCTGATCCCTGTTCTTTGTGCAATGACACCGCTGAAGACATAATCTCCCAAAGCACACAGCGCCAAACACATGCGCACATTGTTCAGGGCAGTCCAGTGTCTTCCATTTGCCTGGAAAGCCTGGACTCCAAACTCTAAGAAGGTATCACAGGCTGTTCTTGATTAAAAACATACTACAGAGCAAGATTACTCCAAATTGTTTACGTGATGTTGTCATTGTTATCTGCTTGGATGGCTGCAGTCGGTGTGTCCTGTGACGCGATTCATACCCCACTTGCGTTCTGCTGACCCAATGCTCTCCCTGTGACCACGAGGCCCCTCAGGAGACGCATGAGCCACCTCGGTGGGTCAAGATCTGGGGTCGATACTCGGCCTTTGGGAGTTCCTTGCACTTTAGCTCAGCACATTGGAACAGCATGTAATGCTCTTAATTCTATGATTACCGTTACTTGATTGCCAGATACTTTTAGCAATGACAGAACTTGCTCACATCTGGAGTTTGGCTGAAGCTGCTGCCCCTAGCCACATCTTTCTCCTTGGCTACCTGGGGACTCAGAGAACAAGGATCTTCTCATTGCCTCATACGTCAGGCAACAGGGTAACCCAGATGCCCCACCCCTGCTGTGACCACACAGCCATCTGATCCTCATGAGATTTGATCTGGAGGCAGCTGCTGGCCATGGAGAGTTCTTACCTCTCTGCTGCCCATCTGGTCTTCCACAAGACAAAAACCATCCCTCAGCCATTAGAAGAATTGCTTTTCCCCAACCCAGGATCAGCTTTGGATCCTGGGGTGTTGTTGAAATCACACCCATGTAAAAGTGAGGGACAGAGCAGTGTGCCTGAACCTGCGTTGTAGGTCCCAGATCTTCCCCCCAGTGGCTGATCTAACTTCTGGCTGTGGGGCAAGGGTCACAAAGTTCCTGAAGAAAGGCTTCACTTGCGCCTTTTTTATCTTGAGAGATATTGACTTGTTCGTTGCATTGAACTTTCTCGTTGATTACAGGCGACAGAACATAAGAGTGTCAGCCAAGGCTGGCTCTTGGCTGAGAAGTTAATCCAGACTCATTGTCAGTACCTCATAGACAGAACATGTTGCTGAAACGGAACCAATTATTGATCGTGGCAAGCCTATCTGAATGATCCAGATCCACTTACTGTTTTTTTTTTTCTTGCAATGAATATTAACTGGCAGTGTCTATGTGAACACTTAAATGGAAATGTTCTCTTCCTTACAAATATGGGCAGATCATAAAAAGACTAATAACTTGAGCATCTAATTGTCCACCACTCGATAATCAAGTGACCATATCTCTTTGCACCAATTCATCAGATAGTTCTTAGATTCTATTGCTGCAGGAACAAAGGCACATTGAGATGCTTCTCTCGGGCATGGAAATGAACTTCAAACAGGGCCGTCTATGCTGAGCTTCAGTTCAAATGTTCATCCCTATGACTCCCCTCCCAAAGATGGCTGTTTGCTTCAGTTTTACAGACCGCTGAACATTCGGATAGTGTTGGTGGGTGTGGAGGTCTGGAATGACATTGACAAATGCTCCATAAGCCAGGATCCATTCTCCAGCCTCCATGAATTTCTGGACTGGAGGAAGATGAAGCTGCTACCTCGCAAATCCCACGACAATGCCCAGCTCATCAGGTAGGCTCCTCTGTCGCTTAAAGAAAGCTGCCTTGTGCACCTGTTGGCTCTGCTTGTGCCTGCATAGCCCTAGAGCCCAACCCGTCTGCTCAACGTACACCAGCTCTTACAAGAGGCCCTGCCTCAGCCCACTTCAGTGGGGCCGGCACCATGTTCCCTGGAACCATTGGACAACTTGACACCCAGGAGACCCGGCCCCAGTCCCCTTTCAATAACCTGGTCTTTGGCTTCTCTTCCAGTTTTTCTCAGCTTACTCTTGATATAAAGTTGTCCAGAATTGACTAATTTTAAAGACTTATTTTCTTTCCTTTTACATGTGATATATACAAATATACAATATAATAAAAATAATAAGTATAAATAATATATAATATATTTTACTATAGTATTTCTTCTATGTAAACATATAATATATGAATATATACATATTTGTGTCAGATGATGTAAGGCCAAACACGTGGGTGAATATTGTCACATGCCTGGAGAAGCATAACTTCCTCGCTTGTTCAAGCTGTTACTCCCTAGTTTTCTAGGGCTAGGTCTGCCACTGGTTTAGCAGTCTTACTAGCCTGTGTCTCTTCTTTAATCAGTATGCATCAATGCCTGTTAGGAACCAGACAGCATTGACAGGACTCAGGTATGATAGTGAGCAATACTTACATCTTCCTGCATAGGGAGTCTCCAGTCAACTAGGAGAGGGCCGCAGGACACAAGAAAATGTCCAAGTGGTAAATGTCACAAGATATAAATGCAAGAACATAGAGTTCTAACAGAACAGAACAATGTGGAGCTATTTCTGATACTTCTCTATTTAAATGAAGAGAGTATTTTTATAATAGTTTGCACCGATACAAAGCAAATGTGTCAGGAACGGGCACATGTTTATGGGAATCTTAAAGCAGTTTATTCCACTGCTCTTTTGTTCTTGTGTAGCTTGGATCACTCACGTGAAATCTTCAAGGATGGAGGGTGCTCTCCTCTGTTTATTGAATACATATGGGAAGTAAAAACTGGTCCAGCCCCGTCGTTGCCTTAGTCAGTGCCAACTTGTACACCGAGGTTGTTGGCAGTCCCCGGTCATTTACTTTGGCCATTTATACAAGTCCTCCCCTTAGATATTTTTGTTTCCTCGTATTTTATGCATTGATTAGTCCTCAACTATTAAAAGTACATTCCATGTATTCTGAGTCAGAATGTCTTGTTACAGTGTTTCCCTCCCAAGGAATCTGTCCAACTTGAACATCTGGAAAAGCAATTAACATCTTATTTAACCTTATTATGTATATGCATTCATTACAGGTATCATGTAATGATTCATTTTATGATATCATTGCTTGTATCGGGTGCCATTACATATACGATTGCATCCGTTAGTCCATCTAGATGTAGCATAAAGACTGAAATGCCTACTGCTATAACCTGAATACAGTCAGCCCTCAATATCTGACGGTTCCACATCTGTGAATTCAACACACTAAGACCAGAAATGCTTAGGGAAAAACCACATCTGTATTGAACATGTGCAGACATTTATCTTTGCCATTATTTCCTAAACAAAACAAGATAGACACTATTTACATAGTATTTACATTTTATTAGGGATTACAGCTAACCTAGAGATTATTTAAATTATCTGAAAAGCTGTACATAGTAACATGCAAACACTACATACAGCATTTTACATGAGGAACTTGAGTGGTCATGGGCTTCAGTAGCCTGAGGCTTACCCAGAGACAGTCCTCATGTTCATGAAGGGAGGACCGTGTTGGGATAGACAGTCAGACGGGCCATTATATACTCTTGTCAGCTCTTTCCAATGGGCCACAGCTAAAATATTTCACTTTTTAATCTGTACACTGTCTATATATGTGTAGGACCAGTAGAGGAAGAATTACTCATTTGATTCCTTTACAGATTTCAACAAATGCAATACTGAAATTTTAGGGCATGATATTACAATTAATAGCCCTTGTATAAAACAGACCCTTAGAGCTGTTAGATTCATGATTGGATTAAGATTTCTTAGCAGAGGATGCCTACAGCAAGGCCTCCTCATGATGCCTCCTCCCTGGGGGTTGAAGCTTTGCACGTGGGCTTGCTTATACTTCCTGGATCCCAGAAGCCATCGCCTTTCTGGTCATTTCAATCTTGCAAGCTACATTGGCAGGATACTTTGAAGGAGTTTGAGTCTCTGGCAGAACTGGAATGAGTTACACAGGAAAGCAAATTTCAGCTACGGAAGAAAATCTCCTAGGAATTCCAATGCACTTCCTTTTGTTAGTAGAGGATCTGGATGACTCTTCTTGGCCTGTCCACCAGCAGCTCCCTCAGTCCACCAGGAATCAGGCAGGTTGGAGCTCTATAAACACAAACGAATGGGTCTAAACGACAACACTCTGCTAGAATTATGGGACCGCGATGCAACTGGAAAAAAAGGGATGCATAAGAGCGAAAGCTAAAAGTCACCTGTGAACGCAGTCTCCTGTGGCTGTTTTCACTGTTCTGCGCTCTGTCTCAAGCATGCCTGGCAGAGTGTGAAATATTAGAAAACGTCACTCTTCTACATGACATTCACAGAAGTCCTTCTGTTTGCTTCCTAGTGGGGTTTATTTCCAAGGGACCACCATTGGCATGGCGCCCATCATGAGCATGTGCACGGCAGAGCAGTCCGGAGGAGTTGTCATGGTAAGTCAAGGGAGCCAAGGATGCCAAGGACAGGGAGAGCTGGCTTCCCGGTTATTGGTTCCCCGGCAAATCCCTGTTTTCATTTGACTTTGTGAAGTAGTCCTGCCTTTCAGTGCTCTTTAGATTTAACCCTGCCTTTACTCTAGCTGTGTTCATCATCAGCTTCTGCTTCCCACACCATTTCAGGCACTGTTCAGAAAACACAAAAGTGCATGCAGGGAAAATTGATATGTAAAAAACAGCTCCGAGAGGCTGAATTTGCTCCTCTTATGGAAAAACAAAAACAAAAACAAAAAAACATTTCAACTTGTACTTTCGGTCAAAGCATTCCAGTTCGGGAATTCTTCTTAGCACGGGTATGAGCCAGGACATAGGGGTTTGCCCTGAGCACTTGGCTTTTTTGGGTGAACTGTGGTCTCACCAAATACTACCACTCAAATGACTTTCTGATGGTTCTGACTCCAAGCCCAACAGTCAGAAGTCTGAGGTTTTTCATTGCGTACCAGTGCAAATGTTTTACATACCTTCTGGCCAGCATACAATCTGTCTTTATCATAACCTTATTCTTGGAAGGAAGAGACCAACATCTATTGCTTTGAAAGGGTAACTTTGTCACATGTGGGCTGTAGAGGTCTATAAAACAGGAAAGGTACTTGGGGCTTCTGATGAGTGTAAGAGAAAGGGAACTGTGTTAGACTGCCCAGCAGTGGTGTCCCTCTGTAGAGCCTCAGATAGTTCAAGAACGGTTTTCACACTCTGAAGTCTCTGCCCAGAAAATCTTCTGCCCACCCTGAGCTGACAGACAGGAAGTATCCTCAGAGCTAGTTCCATCCCCATTAAATAAACACAGACTCACCCTCCCAAGACAACGTGAGGGCCTCCACGGTTTTCAAACAGAACATTTCTGAATATTCAGTTGTAGGAAAGGGCTGAGGGAGTTATGTTCTGCTGACTATTATTTTCTTTCCACATACTGCCTAATCTAATCTTTTAGTGACTATACATAAACATTTTCCTCTTGTCTGGGTGCAGTGGTTGGTAATTTATGGAAGCATGCGCTACACACAGGTCACACCCACTCACTGAATTGCTGGCTTGAACAAGCTTTTTTGAACATAGAACCTGGTGGGTGATCTCCTCTATGGAAGTCAATGGAAAGTCTGATTTTTCTTGGTGCCAGGTTCATTTCAAGTCAGATCACAACTGTGTTTTTACAGAGCACGCGGTAAAATTTTAAGAGGGAATAATTTTCAGTTTCATGCTTCCATGGTCAGTTACTACTGACTTTGCCACTTAAAATTGGTCTCAATATGTTTTGAGAGCTGAAACTGAATTCTTCACGACCCACATGATCCTGCTGTGATGTGGGGCTACGGCAATGCCCAGGTGACGGCACTAAATGGCTTCCTTCAGCGCTCATGGCTCCTGGGAGGCACCTTACCGAGATTCCCTCCGTAAATGCATATAGGGAAGCTTGTATTAAAAAAAAAAAAATACATGAGCCGGGTGCCAGTGGTTCGTGCCTGTAATCATAACTATTCAGGAGGATGAGATCTGAGGATCGCGATTCAAAGCCAGTCCAGGCAAGAAAGTCTATGAGATTCTTACCTGCAATTAAACACCAAAAAGCCAGAAATAGATGTGTGGCTCAAGTGGTAGAGTACAGGCCTTGATCCAAAAATCAAAGTGACTACATGAAGTCCTAAGTTTAAGCCCCAATACTGGAGCATGCGCACACGCACACGCGCATACACACACACACACAGGATATATGAAAATAAACTGAAATGTGAGAAATAGATGCAAATTGTGTGTGATGCCATGAGATTCAAGCCAAGACTAAAGTCAGTTAATAAGAAATGGGCCCTTTTAATTTGAGAGCAGTGAGCATCATCCTTCATTCCAATCTGGTTTTATTCCACCTATTAGAGGAACACCAGATAGGCTGAAAGTAGTACACAGCACCTTTAGTTTCTATAAAATTCAGGAGACCAGCATTTCTCCATTTTCCAAGATAGAGTGACTTGTTAATTTTATAAAGTTAAAGCCTTATCTTTGTATCCAATTGGCCTGAAAGAGTCTTGATCTGGAGATATCAGGAATGCTTATATGTTTCCCTTATCCCAGGGGAGTATTGGAGTCTCTTAAGGGACATTCTGTTCACACATGAAAGAATGCAAAATAACTTGGTAATTAAAAATGACACTGGGATATTCTGTAATAGAAGGAATCAGCAGTATTCTTTAAGAATTTTATGCTGAAGCATGCTAAATTCAGCCCTCCACATCCTTAGATTTGGCTACATTCTCTCCACCAATGTGTGTTATTCTTAAGAGCTGATTTCCTGGAACATATTTGTGGAGCTTCCTAAAACAGGAAACTGTAAAATCTAAACAAAGTAATTTATTAGGAATTTCATCTATTCTAAGAATAACTTGCTTCCTTGGCATGCCATTCTTTTCTTAGACTGAGGGCCCATGAGAAAGATAGCTAGAGCCTCCATGCCACCGATTCATCTACAAGATTGTACACGATCACACCTTTATCAAAGAGATTGGTCTTATCAATAATATTTGATAATAACATGATATTTACTCTACAGTGTAGTATTTTATGGTTTCCTGGAAAATCTTTCATCTCTTTCCCATATAGCACAAATCAAGGCTGAAACAAGGCAGCCTCCTTCATTCTTCTGTGGTCAGGCCACACGTGGGTACTGTTTCTATAAATCACATCCAATCGATTTGAAATTAAATAACTATATACTAGTTAATTTCTAATGTCTATTTGAGCCAAGCCATCCAAGGACTCCATTAAGCTGGGCATTAGCCAGGTGTAGGTACTTGCCAGGTAAACCCCATCCATACAACCAGAGAACCTGGGAACCTCCACCCATTTCCATGGCCGACATGACCACACCAGGGCCAGCAAAAGGGTACCATTACTGGGCTGTAATCTTAATTCAGTGAGTCTTCAAGTAGACTACTCCTTGGTCTGCAGTTACCATGAACAAGTGTGAGCATTTGCAGAACCTACCCCCTATGTAGATGGTGAATCACGGCTGCTCACGTCTTATTTAGAATGCCATCAGACATGCCTCCTCTGAGCAGCTTTCTACCAGCAGCCTCTCAGTCAGGGCTAAAATGGTTCTTCCATTTCCCAGGAGGAAGGAGCTTCTTCCTCCTCTATCCTGTATTCAATGAGATGTTTGGCGAGACACTGAAAGACGCAGGGTGGAGAGCACTAGATTATGCCTCATGGACATGAAGAGTCTGACCTGTGTCAGCATGAGAAATGCAGCCCCAGCACAGGAGACCCCCAAAGTGGCTTAACAAAACATGTTGAATTATTCATTCCAAGTCCAAAGTAAATAACATGGCCTGAGCCTACACTGGCCCTTTGCTGGCACTAATACAAGTACCAATGAGGGATAAAGGTCAGGAGTGAAAGAGCTACCAGATGTGAACTCTATGTCTGTGCCCCTTCTGTTTTCTTTGAGGACCATTCAGACAGTCCCCTCGGTGCAGCCGTGACCCTGGCACACGAGCTGGGCCACAACTTTGGGATGAACCATGACACGCTGGAGAGGGGCTGCAGCTGCAAAACGGCTGCCGACAAAGGAGGCTGCATCATGAACCCTTCTACCAGGCAAGTGCGCAGGCTGCCGCGGCCTGAGAGCTGTGCACAGCTTAATGTTCCTACAGAGGAGCAGCTGAGCCAAGGCATGGGGCTGCACTGGTTGTCTGATCACAATAGCCATAAAAGCTTCAAAAACAGAACAGCAAGCATGGATGGCGTTGCTCCGAAGGAGTCCAGGCAGCCCAGCCTGCAAGGTCCTGTGGTATGAGGGCTGATCTGTCCCCGGGGAGTGGTAGGATAGGTGCTGGGTTTATTTTAAAAATAGCAAATTATCCCAGAGTCCCAGCACCACTGTCTGAGGGAAACACACAATTCTACCTCTCAACATGAGTCATGTGTCCTAGAGAGGCTGGATAAGAAGAGCCACCTCCTCATTTGGGGCTGGCTCTGGGCCATATCTGGGGGGGGGGGGAGCGGGGGAGAGTTGTGGTGTGCTACCAGACACCCTGTCATCTCACTGAAATGGTTTTTCTGCTTGGGTGAATCAAGCTGCCCCTCCTTATTCAGTGCCTTCTGAAACTCTAGACTTAAGGAGATAGCTCCAGTGTTGGCAACCACCAAAGAGAATGGGAGTAGATGCAGCCTGGAGTGACTGGAGAGTCAGATGTGTTCTGATACCTCCACGAGCTTGTGGGCTGCACGTGGAACGGTTCTCATTAGTGACCCAATGCCATCCTGCTGTATTAAACTTTGAAACCAGTGATGCCCTACTAATGTGGAACTTTCCCAGCCATGCTGCTCTTTGGCTTTGCTGAAAGGAGACGTGGGGTCCAGAGGTGAATATTCACTGAATGGCGGAAGGACTGACAAAGGGTCAGCCTGGCATGAGGGGGCACCTGGCGAAGGGGTTTGAAAGTCTCAGAAGAGGGAGGAATTGTTAAAGAATGTGGCTGTGCTCGTGCAAGCAATAGCCTGAGGGCCCACTGCCAAATAGTTTACAGGACATCGAGTTGTTCTCACAACAAAGACAGCAGGGCCACGCAGCCCACACCCTACCATCCTCATCCCCCCAGGAACCATCACTGGGGTGCCCTCTCCCAGCAAACAGCTGCTTCCTTGTAACTGTGCTTACCAGAAGCACAAAACCTTCAGGGCCTCTTTTACTAACGATCTGTCTTAAACATAATTCAAAGGTGTGCACCAAGACCTTATTAAGGACATTGCTCTCTGATTTCTGTGATGAATCCAAGAACATCCCTCTAAGTGAAATACCTTAGAGCAAGCAACACCATTAGCAGGTGAGACCTCGCAGAGCGCACAGGGCAGGCTACTCTGAAATGGGATGTGCTGAGTTTGTCACGCAGGTGTCTGGGCACGGGCACAACCATGGTTGGACACTGAGAGCCAAGAGTTTCCTCTGAGGGCGTGAGGCTGGCCTCCGTCCTGCAGGTGCCTCCAGGCTCCACCATCCCTTGGCCCCAGAGACAGCCAGCTTCCCTGGGCAACAGGCTGTGTGGAGTCAGAAAGGGAGGTTGCTGGTTTTCTGTTCTTTCATCCTTGATGAACTCATGAAGTGACCACAGCAACGTCACTCTGCTTCATTCCCCTGGTCGTCAAGAGGCTGCCAAGTCTTAGTAAAAAGAAAACAACGGAGGTCAGGAGTGTCTGGCTAGGAACATTGGTCTGGAATGGAGTCATCTGATCATCCCAAGTTTGATGCAATGTTTTTATCAACACAGGCAGATGAGCAACCTCAGAAGCCCTGAATGGCTTGTTTGTAAACTGCATTACCAATCAACCATCTGTCCATCCTACCTGCCTCGAATCCATCCATTTATCTGCTTATATATTGTTTAGTATGTACTCATTATGGGGGGGCCAGCTCAGAAAGCCCCTCCATCCCTAAGGATTCTAGAATTCTGCAGACATGCTCTCTGATGCTCTAGTTGATTCTGTAAAGTGCCCCACACTGGCAAGCGCTCACAGAGATTCAGAATGCTGTGAGCCAAATTGCTCTGGAGATATTGAGTACCTCAGGTAGAAATGGTATGGTTAAGAGCTCAGCAAAACATCTAAAAGGCTTTTCTCTTACCCCCCCCCTTCTTTTTTGCTAATAGCTTTCGTTTGATTTATACCTTATTAGCAATTTCCAAGTTTTCTCTTCTGCTGAGCTTGTGCTTTTGCGTAAATCTTTTTTCTATTTGGTTCTCATTTATGATCCCACATTCCTGTCCAGAGAGTGGTGTTTTTAATTTTCTCAGATGGAGAGCAACTTCCTAAGCAAGTGGGTGAATTAATCACAAAAGCCAGCAGAGAGAGGGAGGCCAGGGAGCAGCGCAACACGCTCCCGTCGTCCATCACTCACGGTGGACTTTCCCAGGCTGCCCTGGGACCGTCGCAAAGCTGAGGTTCTCTTACTTCGTGGCATCCCCAAGAGAGTAGGATTGGGGATTCAGGAGAGCATGTGTCTGCACCGGGTAAATCACTGGGGCATTGGAGATATCCAAAAGTTAGAGACCTTTCTCGGGATTCTTCCTCTCGGTGCTGGGAGAGATGTGTGGCTCATGGCGTTCAGTGACATGTCCACTTCCTCCATGAACAGCCCACGTCCAAACACCAGCCTTCCTTCTCGCTCCTCCTTCCCCACTACTGAGCTGGCCATTGGGTGGCAAATGCTTAAAATGCTGGTTCATGGAAGTTTGAGCCCCAAAGCTGACTCAGGGGGGAAGGGAATGAGCAACTGCTTTCCCGTTAAAGCCTCAGAATCAAAGAAGAATCGAGTATTGTAAGTGGCTCAAAGGAGACGAGCGTATCCCCTCGTACTGGGGCTGAGCCTTCATCCCAGCATTCCAGAATCCTCACCCTGTAAACATTAACCTGCGGCCAACACTGACAGATGGGACCCAGAGGCCTTGCGGATGCTGGCATGGAATATGTCCCGGGTAAGCGTGCGGGCCGGGGTTTCTACTGCTTGATTCAGGTCAGAGGGGTTTTTCTTACGGCTTGTCATCATTAATTACCGAGAGCCTTGGAGGGTGTGTGTTTTATGTCTCTAGATAGTGAACATTTGAAACCTGTCTTGGAAATGAGTCTTTGGCAAGTGCGGTATCTGGGGGTTGTTGTGGGAGCAGAGCTCAGTGGCGTCTGTCCATGAAGAACCTTCTTGTAGCCCTCTAAGCTCTCAGGGCTGAGGGCCGAGCTCAGGCATTTACAGGAGGGAACAAACATAGATGGTGTGAGCCCTCTTAGCAAAGACTCGTTAGCATAATGGCAAATGGTGTGCTCTCTAGTGTGAAAGGGGAAGCAAGTGGCATGTGTCTCCCAGATGCCTCTAGGTTTTGCACCATTTTTCTGTTGAGAGTTGGGGTACCAGGACCATCTCACCTGGACACCCAGGGAAACTACAGAGCATTCCAACAGAGCTCCTCACACCCCTTCCGCCATGACACATGCAGGCAGGCCAGGCGCTCATCCTGTCCACAGAACTTCTACTCCAGTGCAGGGAACAGACAAAAAACCAACCAACCAGGAAATTAAACAATCACAGGTCGGGAGGAGTCAGTGAAGGATGGGAACCAAGAAGATAGAGCATGGGGGATAAGAGAGGACCAAAAGGAAGAGTGGGAAGGACAGCCAGTAAAGCGTGTGGAAGGAGAGGACCCAGCACTGCACAGGTTCTGACGAGGCTCTGGCCTTGCTGCCAGGAGAGCAGGAGCTGGGGACAGGGAATCGGATGGTGACACCGCCTGCTTCTGGCTAGAGATGAAGAGGAGCTGTGTGAGACCAGCCCTGTCCACCACAGTGGGAACCCAGGCTTCTATCTCCAGAGCCGTGGGAAAGATGGAGGTGTTTAGATTAGACAATAATGCATTTTGCGGTCTCTTGAGATTCCCTCCTTTTTAAGGGGATCATGTAGCATCTGAGCTGCATGTAGCTTGCCAAAATGAAGGGGCTTCCTATAAAAGAAAAAGGAAGCAATCACATATAAATTCCAGTTTTCTTTGAGTGAAACAAATAGGCATTTGGAAACGGAAGAGGAAGGGTCCTGAATTAGCCCACCAGGCAGTGGCTCATACCTCATCTGGCACACTCTCCAGTCTTAGGGAAAAGGCCCCTCCTCTCTTCATGACTTCCTTCCCCTTCCCACAGGGGGCACCTTCAGAGATGCCACCTACAAGCCACAAGGACACCTGCACACTGCTGTGTGTGCATCTGGAAGGAGTCACTCTCTTCTCACCATGCTAAGATGTGGGGCTTGGATCTGTTGGGGTATCGTTTAGTCCAGACTGGAAAACAGCTCCTCACCTGCTAGCGGGAGGGAGGGTAGAAGACAGTGTGTTGGGCACTGAGGATGATGTAGACCCAGAAAATAAGCAAGTGTGGCTTTGGCCTTGCCCTCCAGAAGTGCGAATAGCTCACATTAAGCTGAGGTCAGGAATAGCGTTGATACCCACATCAAACAGTCCTGCTTGAGGAGAAGCATTGCCATTCTACTTCCCCGGATGCAGGCGTCCTTGCTTGCCTGAAGCCTGCTCGTTCAGCTCAGGATACAGGAGTAGATGCCCCTCTTGCTGAATGGATGAACTACTGGGTCTTCATGGCCTCCACTCTAGTTCCAGCCCTCTCGCATCCAAAATGGTATCCGTTAGACTGGGGCTCAGGCCAGGCCTGCTGCAGGAATTGTACTGTTGGAGAAGTAGCAGCCACCAGTCAGAGAGCAAAACCACTCCTCTACTGCCAGCCCTTACTGCTTACCTGCCACAAGCCCAAGCCCGTGGAGCAGGTGTGGAAGCCAGAGACCAGGTTCTTAACTTCCTGCACCAGCACCAAAGTGGGGAGGTGGGCAATAAACTGGTGGCAGTGGCAGCCTAAGAGGTACAGGCTTCTGAGAGAAGGTGTTCTGGGGAAGACCCACGGAGCATGTCAAAGGCTCTGTGTGCAAGGCCTGGACAGCACAGTGTCTCCTCTGTCAATACGTCAGTGTGCACTTCTCATAGATAAGGAGACGAGTCCAAACATGACTGTGATACCATCTCACATCTTCTAAAAAGTGAACAGAGAATAGAGGT